TCATGAGATAAATTTACTTGAAAATTGGAATTATTGTCACAGTTTAATTATCAAGAATTAAATTTTATTTATTTGCACATTTTAAAACAAATATCAAAATTTCAATATTTTATTTTGTTATAGGAAAATGTTGGAGAATATTCTTAGATAAAACGAAATTACAGCAATTTGCTTTGATGCATTTTATATGGTAACTTCCTCTAAAATTGGGGGGGGGAAATATACATATATATTTTTTCAGATTTTCAGCGTAAATTCGATAGCATTTACGTAAAAGATTTGCTTAACATTCTATGTTTATGATAATCAAAATCTTGTTTTTCAAAATAAATTTTTTGATAGACTTCGCTATTGCTTTAAGAATATTTTTTTTTATTTCGAGCAATCTTTATAGAATTACATGTGATGAAGTAACACTTTACACATACATCTTACCTTTTTCGATTCAAAACACCACGCCCGTATAACACGGTAGTTACGTTCCAAAAAATTGCCGTGTTATGCGAATCCGTGTTATGCGAATCAAAGAACTAGTACGAAAAAGAGGGTTAGGTTCCAAAAATTAAAAAGCATGCTACTATATTTTCATAATTAAGTTAAATATCTTTATTAAAATTTTCTTAAGTGATACATATTAATATAAATTAAACAATGTTTTCTTTGTCATCACTAAAAGCACTATTAACCGAGAGCGTTTTATTTTTGGCAATTTATCGTTATCCTCTGAGCATTTTACTGCATTATTTTCAAATTCATGCTTTACCTTTTGCAAAAAGTGTATGTAATTTTAGATTGCTTGCTTATAGTTAAAAGATCTTTATAAATTTCCTTATATGGTGCTAAGCACTTATGGAATAAGGGAAAAACATCTGGCAACACCAGAAGCAGAAGCGTCGAGATCTGGCAAAATTGAAACAATTTTCGCGAAGGACCATGTGTATGGAGACGAGAAGAGAAAATTTACACACTGAAGTACTAATAGTTCACGAAAGTTATTATTTTTGTGAACTATTATTACTTAAGTATGTAAAAATTTATTACATTTCATGTTGTACGAGGGTTTTATCCATTTCTCGAACCGTGTCAGAGTGAATCCGTGATATAGAAGTGCCGTGTTATACGGGGGTTACCTGTATATCAAAAATGGTTGTTCATAATATTTATAGATAATTTCATCATTTAATAATAATTTTCTCTTAGGATTTTCTAATATTTGCCCTAAAATATCCGTTTAAATTCATGTAATTTAAATCTAATTAAGCGAACTTGGAAATAAATTACTAAACGAGATTTAATTTCTTAAGATATTAATGTTATAAATCTGTATATTAATTAAATTCAGTTTTTTCGGTGATTTTCCAAAAAAGAAAGAAGAAAAACACTTGTATACTTTTTATTCTTCTTTCATGCAAATTATAAGTCATTTTCTCTATTTTTATGTATTTTTATTTTAAAGTTCATTTATCTTTATAGCCATAAAGATTTTTATGTTTATTCAATAAAAATTAAACATATTTAAATTGTATTGAATTGATTTCATTAATAAAATATTGCAGTTATATTAAAATATCTTCCTGTTATTGAATATTTAATAAACGTTCAGGAAGTTCATTACAAATGATAAAAGTCCGTCGCCAGTCGTCCGTCTTTCATTAATCTCGAGAATGGAATTAGATAGGCCTAGATGAAAATCGAGACAGATACAAAAAGCTTAGGGGTGAGAGGCCTCTATTAACAATATACGAACTTCTGGTTTGAATCGGAAGTCACGTGATTTCAATTAAAAATTTTTATCTTAATATATAGAACGATAAATAATATACCACTCGATCTTCTAAGGTGTACAATATTTGCGTGATCTCACATTTTCTGTGGTAAAAGTCATCATAGAGAAAAAAAACAATTGCATTTTCAGATTCAGCATGAAAAGTTACATTTATTTTTAAAGTTAGATATGATTAAAATTGCTGCCCGGCATTGTGACGGTGTCACAACAATCTAGTTATTATATAGACACTCTATAAATGTTATATTTGAATATTTCATATTATGGAAATAATATGACTTTACTGACTTCTATCAGTTTATTTGACTTGCTAAAGAATTGGAAATTTCATATTTTGTTCCTTCAAGCACGATTAGAGAAGTGTTGTTTAGTAATCTTTATAGACCACTCATGCGAAAACTAGGTTTTCAAGAATTTGTCCAAGTTTTCGTTTGATATCAATGTTTCGATACTCCAACTACAAATACTTTAAATCCTAATGTCGGAAAAATCGTTTTTGGAATAAAAATTGTTATTTATTAAAAATTGAACTCTTCGATATTTATTATATGTTAAAAATTGATCGTTTTATTGCGTTTTGAAATTTTAGAAATATGAAAGTTCGTCATCTTAAATTTCAGGCTTTAAACCTAAAATATGTTTGAAAATAAGTTCTTTAATAGTCCTTACTCTATTTTAATCAAAGTTATAAAAATGTATTGATATAAGTAAAGAATTTTATTCTTTTGGACTCTATGTAGTGCGTATTTATTTTAGTAATCTATATAAATAAAAATGTAAATGTTCGTTTGTTTAAAATCTTAAATCTCCGAAAGTTCTTAACCGATTGCTTTGAAATTTTGACACAACGTTGTATTCGAATACGCACGTGTTTTTATATTAGCCTATATAAATGTCGAAATTCCCCCCGCGGAGGAGAGAGACAAAATTAAGGCTTACCGTGAAGAATTGGTCTTCTATTATTCTATTTTAGATGCGTTTTTTTTTTGCGTTTTAATAGGGTACGTCAAGAGAATGTTCACTAAGAAGGAATTTTTCGAAATTTATAATAGATATATTTTGAGCCAAAGCAACTTATCTAGACTCGGGTGCAGCTAGTTAATTATAAGATATGTTCTAAAAGTATACTTACATAAAAAGTGTTTCAAGTTTCTGTAAAACTGTATAAATTTAAAACTTTAATTGCCCAAAAAGACTACTTGATTTTAGATGTATGCCTTCTTATGACTTGTTATACTATATCTTATTTCTCCCATAAAAACTACTTAGAAAATGTCGAATCGACGATTACGTCTTTCATATGATCGTCATTTCCATATTCTATTGATACATCTGTAATCTCAAAACAAATGCAGTTTTTAGCATAGTCCCATATGCTATGGGGTACACTCCATCCTTTATGCTAAAAATTGCTTTTGTTTTGAGACTCTTTTTTATATCCGAAATGTGTTAGAAAACGTACGTAATATGCACAAATTCAACGCATTAGCTGCTGAATCTTAAAACAAAATTTTTCCCCGAAAATCGAAATGCATACTCAGGACTGCATGTAGGGTAAACGATACAGTTATTGGCCACCAAACAGCAATTGGCCATTTCGAATTTAAACCTTTTTAATAAGAGTTATATAAAAGCTATTCTGGAAATATTTTAAGGCAGCACTAATACATGTTTCTGCTGTTAATGGAATAGCAAAAACTCTCTCGGATTTTTCTGTCGTTGCGTGTGACCAATAACCATACAATTTTTCATATTCTTGAAATAAAGTACATTTTGGATTATACAATTGGCATTTGTAATTTCTAGATATTGGCAGTAAAAAGGCTGTAAAAAATGAATTTATCAGTAAGTATAATATTTCCCGATTTAATCTTTCTGTTATGTCATAGAATTTTTAAAATATATGCTCTTCACCTCAAATTAGTAGTGTTTTGCCCATGTATATCATACTTTTCCTTTAACAACAGAGTCGTGCCGATCATCTATTAACTCTTTTCGGGGGAAAAGTTTTGAATTGAAATAAGGTGACTTCCGGTTTGCATCGGACGTTCATATATAGTTAATCAGGGCATCCTGCTGCCTGAGCTTTCCGTATCTGGTCTTGAATTTCATCTATTTAACACTCGAGATAAAGGAAGGAATGACAGACAGACAAACGACAGTGGGAATTTATAGGTTTACAATTTTTTTAAAGTGCAGCCCAATTAACAATTTAATACATATAATAATTGTTTATTAAGTTTTGATATTTCAAACACATTTGATTGTGTTTAAATACAATAATTGAAGTAATAATTAATAATAGAATTATACAATATTTATATAAATATTTATATAAATGTTAAATGAGATAATTCTTTCCTCTTCTAATATGTTTTCATTTTTATATATTTATTTTGAAATAGATATATAAAGTGAACTTTAGATGGTCTAAATGAAAACTAACATTTTTATCTCAAACTTATCTAGACTCGATGTACACTTTATGTAAATTAAACAAATAAAACTGTAAGCAAATGTGACGAACTAATTACGTCAATTTAAGTCATTTATACATTTACTGATTGTAAACGTAGTAGAATGACGTCAATTAAAATAAAAGAAACATGTTCTTTGGATGAATAAACATACTTAAAAGTTATTTGAAATTGCATTTATGCATTTGTACAAATTAAACTAATAGAATAATTAGTGTAGTAAAAATAAATGTGTTAAGTTGTACAGGGTGATCTAGACGTAATAGGAAAGTTAAAATAACTCAATTATCGATCGGAATAATAATAATAATATTTCTTTTGTATTATTATTTAATAATTATTTCGATTTTAAATTCATCCAAAAATGAAAAGTTTAACCTTTGGAGGATTATTATAATTGAGTGGCAATTCATTAATGTGAATAGACATAGGGATAAATGCGAAGAACATATCCTCCATTTTAACGTTAAAAAATGTTTTCCTATCGTTCAAACACCCTCGTAATGTGTTCGATATGTCTGATTAGACATTATTCTAAATAACTATTGCAATCTGACTGTTTTGTGTTGTCTAGATGTTAAATTTTACACAGAAGTTATAGACTATAATATTTCACTAATAAAATTTTTCTACTAAAATATGAAATTTTTAACTGTCTTATAACGTCTAGTCTATTATTTAGTGTTATAAAGTATGTATGTGAAGAATTAATTCAATTTTTAATGAATTTTTTTCAGGTCCAACTGTTACGATTCTCATGCTATTGGCAAGTCTGAATAGTTGCACTAATCCATGGATATATCTATTTTTTAATCAAAACTTAATTCAATCCTTGAGTCAAGTATGTGGTTTTAACGTGAAGAAGAAGTCTATACGACAAATGACTGATGTAAATCATACAACTAATACTGACGACGAAAAACACTCCATACGCCAAATGGCTGATGTTAATCATACAGCTCGTATTGACGACGAAAAACATTCTCATCAGTCTGATTTATGAATATCGCATATAAATTTACATATCATTCAATATCATTATTCGTAACATTAATTTATATGTACAGCCTGATTTTAATTGTTCAATTATAATCGATACAATTAACAGATTTTGATTCATGTTTCCTTCGATAATCCCGTTTAAATAGATTTAAATAATATAAATTATTATATTTTACTGATTTTTCGATTATATAAAATGGTTTCTTTTCTTTCTTTATTGACTCTTTCGATGCTGTGGAGAGTAAGAGGGCCTTTTTAAATCATACTCAACGTGAGTGATCAGGCCCACAATGGGGACTGCCGGGTGGGCCATCCTGAGATTCGATCCCGGGTCCCCAGAGCGTTAGGCTGACTGTTTAACCGTCTGAAAAATGATTTATATCTATAGTATCTATATGTATCTTAATATCTTGAATAATTCTTAATATTTTAATCTTAACTGTAAATTAAAATTATATATTATTTTTTAATTTGTTAAAAAATATTAAAAATTTTAAAATTTATACACTGTACAGTTATGTAATATATGGCAATTTTAAAAATTCTCTTTAAAATTTTTTAAGTGTGATTAGTATTGTAGAATGAATAGAAGAATAAAATGCGTGAAATTCATTCTTGTCAAATTTAAATAATGAAAACAATAAAAAAAATCGATTTTAAATTTAATTCTGTTGCTAATTTCAATAATTTTTAGGCTACATAAAATTAACTACTTATAACATTTTTATTTTCCTGGAATATGCATAACTCAGTTAACTAACTGAAAATTTGTAGCAATATAAAAATTCTGTAAATTGTTTATTGAACACGAAGGATTTCGTTTTAAATTATTCTTTCTTTGTTAGTACAAACAACAATGAAACTATATATATAAAATACAGAAGATACAAAACGTCTTCACTTCCGCCCTTTCCAACCAACAGGAAAAAGTCTTCCTTCGCAGAGACGACCTTTTATTGTTGGCTACGACTGTACTACTGTGGCTACACGCCTGTTTTTCTTTTATTAATATTGTTATTATTATTATTAGTCCGTATAGTTTTAGTTTAATTTAAATTCTAGAACTTTCCTTCCTTCCGATTTCTTTGTTCCTTTGTCTCGGATTTCCAAGAACTCGCCTCACCCCTAACCCATCAGGGGGTAGCCTTAGAACAAAAGACGAAAANCCCCTTTGTATATTTATCTCATATTTAATCGCATTTAACCGACATTTTTAACTTTAGTTATTCAATAAATGCTTTGTTTATTCGTTAAACCTGTCTCCTGTCTTTGAAAGGACGCCTGCTGACTTGCTCACTTCCCTTGCCACTCGATAAAAAGCCATCCGAAACGACAGCGTGAGCGGTCCTTGCAGACTGTTGTGTGATACCGTGTATCACACATGTGTTAGCTGAATGAACTTTGATTTCGGTCCAAATAGTTTTTACTAAGCCATTTAGTTAAAACCCGTTTTGTCTAGTTAAAACTAGTTTTAACTGAAATTCATTTTTGACTAGCAGTAAATTCTAGTTTTAACAAAGGCATCCAGTAAAAACTAGTTTTAACTAGTTAAAACGGGTTTTAACTAAAATCGGGTTTTAACTGTAACATATATATTATTGTTAGCGCGAAATTAAACTCGTTTAATTGGTAAAACGTGTCTGTGTTTTCCTGTCCGCGCTATACATTTTCACACTACAATATGCAAAAAAGTTTAAAAAGATGATAAACCATAAAATTTTGTAAAAATTGTATATTTAATTATAAAATAGCAAAATTCCCGGTGGTTGGAAAAGGCGGAAGTGAAGACGTTTTGTATCTTCTGTATTTTCTATATATTGTAAATATATCGTCTGCTATTTTTAAATTAACAATGAAACTCTTTTATTTTAAACTCAGCTAACTTCAGCTAACTTTAAAACAACGTTGTTTTAAAGTTAGCTGAATTTGGGTTTACCTTGTCTAAATACTTTTAATTGGAAATAGAGAAGCAATTGAAAAAGTTATTCACAATTTGCTATTATCGTTTTAAAATTAACAAAAACTAAACGGATACAAAATTTTAATTTATTAAATTATTTTTTAAAATAATTTTTCTTGAATTATTTAAAAAATAGTCATATGATGATAATAAATATTCGGGAACGAATATGTTTGGTCATCATGAATCATAAATTTAAAAATATTAATTCGAAACGTCATTTCTAAAATATAAGATTCATTGAGTAAATATTTAAATTTAAGCAACATGATAATACAGTAATTATGTGTTTTACTAGCTGTTACCCGCGGCTTTACCCACGCGGATTTTGCAATTTGATAAAAATAACCCTTCCTCGGTACTTTACTAAGATTCTCAATCATTAGTTGTTACTAATTTGGTAAAATTACTGATTTTTGTTTGTTTCAAACTATGTACTGCTATTGCACCTAAATTCAAGTTTCCAATATTATGGGATTCCGAGATACGATAAATCCTAGTTCAATTTTTTTTCGAAACATATCTGAAAATTTCTAAAATATAAATATTTACTGAAAAATAGAGTTTCAGTTATCCCAGTACCACGTTTGTGGTACTGCCTTTCGGGGCTAAGACTTTTTAAGCCTTAATGCTCTCTCTCTCCCTCCCGCGGAGGAATTTCGAAAAATCTCTTCTTAGTGTGCATTTTCATGACGTACCCTAACTATTGACCAAATTTCACCTCTAGGTTCAGCGGCTTGCTCTTGACTGAGTAACTGATGAATCAATCAGTCACTCAGTCAGGACATGTAATCTATATATATAAAAATGAATGTATGTCTGTTGTCTGTCTGTCTGCATGTATGTCCTTCATGCATTACCATACCGTTTATTCGATTTCCATGAAACTTTGGGAAGTTGTTTAATTAATATACTCCCGCGAAGGTTTCTGGCATAGTACATTTATCCTACGATAAATGGCGCGAGTGTATACGAGCATTTCATCGTGAGTTCGATCGATTTCAAATTGTGAAGACCAATTCCCCCTACAAAAAATATCCCTATATATGCATTTGTGAACTGTTATTTACGATATTTTTAATAATTTTTGTTTAATCACTTTATTTCAACTATTTTTTGCTAATTACGTATTCGCTCGAACTTTGTTAAAACCTTAACTATATCTCGAACAACAACCGAAGTTGTAGAAGGAAATTCGCCTATTTTACCGATCTAGGGATCCCCTTTTCCAAATTTTAATATCGACTCGCAATAATTTAAAAAGACAAATTACAATAAAACGGTTTATTATCCAACTATCAGAAATTTCACAACATGCCAAGGAAGAGAGGAAGGAGCAATTAAATAATTAAAATTATAAAGGATTTAAAAATATATATAAAAATGGGGAATATCGCACTTCTGACAATCGCAGCGAGTGTGTGGGCTAAATTTGGAGAATCCGTGCTTCTCGCATGGAC